AATTGTGTGCATGCTGAAAGTTAAAATTGTGGCATTGTATCATAAATTTTACCAGCAAGAAATGTATAGAAGATTATTGTATATTGCTGCTATTTTTGAACAAATGAGAGGGAATGACACAGAATCAGTTGGCAGAGAAAATAAGACAGGGATTGATAGGTCACTGCATTAATTACTCATGATGGACATCACATCAAAGCATTTATAGATGTCTTACTACCTAAAGATTTCCAAATGTGATTTTGAGCCTGTGAAGTCATTGTAGGTCTCGCAGTGTCTCTATTTGACAAAGCTTTACCTAATATTGGAACTACAGACACTTCTGATTACATCTTTAGAACAATATTTAAGCACATTAATACAGATAATATTTAAAAGGCAGTTGTATTTCCATCTGGAATATTACAAGGGGCAGAAAAAGTCTGTTCTGTTGAAAAAAAGCATTTGCCAGTGTGTGTAATACAAAAAACAATTTCTATGGCATCATAGTGATTGTTGCAGATTGCCATTTAGAGTTTGGACGATCAGAAATTAAGATTATCAGTTGATATACTAATGTATTGTATTCAGATGAATATAAATCTGGTATTCATAATGTAACTGCAACTCATTTACTTTGCCTACCTTTGCTATCTTCAGGTAGTGAGCATGATAAGAATAAGAAGTGGATGGCCTTAATAGTCCTTTCCAAAGAGGAATTTGTAGCTATGCACTTGCCTTGTCTAAAATAACTTGATGCTGTATCTAGTGGTGTTTCCAAATTTATGGTCCTGGAGGATTTCAGCCTGCTTTCCTTGGGTCTGGGCTCAGAGGAAGCCTTTTTTTATTATTATTATAAATTTTTACAATTTTACAATAAAAAACCCCTTCCCCAATCCCTCCCAACCCTCCCCAAAACCTTCCCCCTTCCCAGAGCTGAATAAAGGGTTAACTAGAATTTAAAAGGAAAAACTTTTAAACTCAAATAAACCTCAAACAAATATAATTACATTCAATAAATGAATTATTAAGTACCTTAACTCCATTATGTATGAAAAACAGAAAGAGAAAAAGAAGAAAGAAAAGAAAGAAAAAGAAAAAAAAACCTTCTTCCAATACTATCCTATTAACAACCATACCACTATAATTAAATTTAACATTAAAATAATTTCTTTGTCATTACAATCCTACCAATTTACCATTATAATTTATTTTATCTATAATTCACAACTTCTGTTTATTTCACAATTAATAAACCAATCATCTCCCTAACTTAATAACATTACAAAATATCATATTTCATATAAAGTAAATTAATTGGAATCTAGTCCGCCATTAAAATATTATAAACTTTAAGTATAAATTTAAGTATAAATTATTCAGAAAGCTAAACAATATTTTCTAATATCATACTTGTATTATATAAAGTTTATCCATCTTTCTTTGTCATCACAATCAACACACATGTAAGCATTACTTATACTATTGAAATTCCCTTATATATATTTAAAACAAAATATTCCTTTAAATACTCCTTAAGTTTCTAACTTCTTATCTAAAGTTTTCATTCAGTCTCCATAATCTTCTCTCCTCTTTTCCAATAACCAGTTCCATCCGCAATGGGCTATAATCTGTCAATAACCTTGGAACAATCTTTACATTCTTTACCCATCTCTCTTATCCAATAACCTCAAGAAAGCTGCTTGAAGATCTGCCATTGAAGATTGCACCAAAGAACTCTTAGGTCTTGCTTCTCCCACAGACTCAGAAACAAATTCTTGTAATACTTCTTTAACCTCCTTTTTCTGTTGTTCCTTTTCCTTGCGTTTGTATGCTGCCCGAGTCATTCTCTGCTCCTTCATCTCGACTTGTTGAGACCCCTCAGTCTGTAGTTTTCCAACTTTCATCAATTCAGCTTCTTCAGACTGCTGTTCTACCTTCTTCTCTTCCAAAACTTTAAACATTATAGGTGGTGTTGAGCGTGCTCCCAGGACCGAAGTATAAAACTCCTTTGCTTTAAAAACAGTATTAAGTCTATGACGTATCCCCGCATAGCTCACCACTATTCCAATCGGAATATCCCATCTAAACGGCATCTGCCTCTTTTTAAGTTCATCTGCTAAAAAAGCAAACTCCTTTCTTCTTCTTAAAATTTTAGATGGGATCTCCTTTAAAATTATAACATCTTGTGCAGCAATCTGAAACCTCTTATTGTAAAAAGCTTGTATAATTTCATTGCACAGGGATCTTTTCCCAAAGTAAATTACCACATCCCTTGGCAAATTTCTTTGCTTTGCAACCCAAGAGTTTGACTCTAAATATTTTTTCAATTTCTGTGAATATTTCCTCTTTTTCTCTATCCAAAATTACAGCAAAGTCATTTGCAACCATCTCTCTCAGATCTCCTTGCAAATTTTCTCTCAAGCCTCTGATTCTTAAAGCGAGTTCCATCTCTCTATATTGAAACATAAGAATCTCATCTTGTGAATTTTCCATCTTTTTTTCCATGCCTTCAAATTTTTCCTCCAACACCTCCACTTTATCTGCTACTTCTTCAACACGAAAATCCAACTTTTCAACAACAGAAGCAAGTCCTTTTAAAGCCAAAACTATATCTTGCCTCAAGATCCTGTTATTCTCCACTAAGATCTCTTTCACTTCTCCCCTAATTTGAGATATAACATTTCCCATTACATCTTGCAAATCTTTTACCGTTAATGACTGTGCAAGAGGAGAAGGTAATAATGTTGATTTAGGTTGTTGCACTGGTAATATCACCAAAGAAGAAGCCACTTTAGGAACTGTGGAAAATACTTGGTGCTTTGAAGCCATCTTAAAAGAAAAAATTTTGTTTCTTCTTTCCTCCTTCTTAAAAAATACAAAAAAAAAGGAAAAAAAGAATTAAACAAAAGAGAGGGAGATTAACGGCTCAGAGGAAGCATTTATGTTCATGACCAGCTTTGCAGCAGGCAGGCCCATCCCACAACGTGGGTGATTGTCACATACCATATTATACATTACTTTTGTGTCACTGTGGTAGCAATATGATCTGGGATACTTGCTATGAAAAGATGATGATGCAACCTAGAACTAAGAAGAAATTGCCTGACAGTTAGAACAATTAATCAGCAGAACAACCTGCCTCCAGAAGTTGTGAATGCTCCAACAATGGAAGTCTTCAAGAAGAGACTGGACAGCCATTTGTCTGAAATGGTATTGGGTTTTTTGTCTGAGCAGGGGGTTGGACTAGAAGACCTCCAAGATCCTTTCCAACTCTATTATTATTATTATTATTATTATTATTAGTAGTAGTAGTAGTAGTAGTAGTAGTAGTAGTAGTAGTAGTAGTTCTGTTACTTCTGAGGAAATGGACAAGGTGGGAAAATCCCTGTAATGGTGAATGCTATCTTAAAAGATGGGATAATCTCATAGACTCTGAAAGAAGAGTAGTCCATCCCATTCTCAAGAAACTATCTCTGGATCTGTTCAGTTTCTAACCCTCGTTTCTGGGGAAGGTTGTTGAGAAAGTGCTCAGTCTACCACTCAAAAGATCCTGGAGGAAATGGATTTTCTGGACCCCTTCCTGGTTTTGGGACATTTTTGATCACAGTTGCTGCTTTTGTATTGAGACAACTTTGGTTGCACTTGATGTTGTGGCAGCTCAAGATGGGGGTAATATATCCATCTTGGTCCCCCTTGACATCTTGGCAGCCTTTTTGATACCCATTGATCATGGAATGTTTCTGAACTACTTTAGGTTATTGGGTTCTGTTGTGATTCTCCTTTTTTCTTTGGTTCCATTCAGTGTTGAGGGAGATGTGGTTTAGTCCCAGATCCTGCTTTGCAGGGGGCCTCAAGAAAGCACCAAGGACCCCTCATTTCAACTCTGAGCTATTCAAATATTCTCTTCTGTTGGAACTTTGTATGTGTCCTTATGGAGCTCCAAATTAAATACTCTTTGTTTAATTTATGCCATAGTTTCATCTGTGCCCCATATAAATAGAGGATGGGATGAAGAAGAAAAAGAAGAAGAGATGGTTCATATAGATTACGGTGCTGATGAAAAATGTTATACAATTTCACTGTATTTTCTCTTGCACAAAAGTGACAGACCTGAACTGCATGAACTGGATCTCTACATGGACTAACAAATTAGTGGATATTAGCATAGCTATGTGGGTTGGTTGCTTAGTATTATTTTAATAAAAGGTATATATAAGATTATGTGAGCAAGCAAATGAAAGGAGTCCTGGCAAGATTTTAGCTTTAGTTTTGATTAGGTGTTTGCAGTAAGAAAATGTTCAGATTTGCCTGTGGTGCTTCAAATGTGTATAGCACTACAACTGTTGCTTCCTGAATCCAGTATTGCTACTGTCCCTCGTGGTATGTTATATCAATAATGAAAACTTTGTTCACACAGCTACTGCAGATTTTGCCTCAAGTAACTCACCTAATCCTAAACTGCAGTTCCCTCCTTCTCCCCAGTGGTACAATGTAACAAGAACCCTATTTCCATTTTGAAAATTTCTCACAAGCTTCATTCTGTGCTTTAACTTGTCTGTTTCTGGAAAACACCTGATATTCTTCTTCAGTAATGATTCTCTTCTCCCATTCTCTATGCATACCACTTTTTTTCTGTCCAGCATCTTAAACACCTCTACATATATCCACTCCCATTTTGTCTTATAGGGATTGAATATGGTTGTGCCTATTGTGTTCCATGGAATTTTCTGTCCTTCCTGGACCCTTTTCTCCTCAAGGATTTAAAGCAATTTTGATAATTTCAACACATTTCATGGCAAATTGGAATTCTTTGGGAAAAAGTAGAAGGATACCAATATCTCTGGATATTGGTGTCTCTAGATTTCCAATTATATTGGAAAATTGAAATCCCCAGACATGTTCTACAATTTGAAAGTTTCACATACTGCTGTGTCCATGTCTATACCACATTTGTAATCTAAACATACTAAAGTATATGCTTCTAAAGAACATCGTTTTGTTTTTTATTCCTTATACAGTTAAAATATGCACTGTATCATTTCAATCGGAAGTTGTCCTTGGAGCCTAAGGTATCTGTCAGTTGTAGAATAGTAGTTGTTGGATCATCAAATGTTGGCATCTCCTTCCTGGAGACACTGATTTTTTGGTAAGTTTTTAGATTTGTTGTCATTTAATCTCACACTAGACAATTTTTCACTTTATATTTGTTCAATTATTGCATTTATGTCTCATCTTTTTTAATGAAAGCTCACCATTATATACTTATAAGTTTCACCTTATTTTGTCTCTACAATAATAATTCTTGAAGTAGGTTAGGGTTAGAATAAGTGACTTGTCCAACAGTATATTGTCATTTCATGTCTGGCCCCTTAGCTATTGCCGGTTACCTAACCTATCTATACTGATGTGATTTAAAGCAGGGGTGTCAAACTCAATTTCATTGAGGGCCGCGTCAGCATTGAAGTTGCCCTCGGGGGGGGGTGTGGCCAGGGTGGGTACGGCCTACTGGGTGAGCATGGATGGAGTGGGTGTGGCCTACTGGATGGGCATGGCCAGCTCTACATCGTTCACGTCAAGGGTGCCTGTGGGGGCCTGGGCAGGATGGGACAGATCTGAGGGTCTCTGGCAGAAGGGGGTGGGACTGGGGCAAGCACCAAAGCATGGTCCATTTCTTCATTTCTCACAAAGGGTGACACCTCCCCAGCATGCACCCAGGGGGTGGGGCCAACGTGGCAGAGGCTGGTTCCTCGCTGTTTCTAGACGGCCTTGTGGAGCTAAGACTGAATGCGTTTCAGCATAGTACATTCAGCATTGTACATTTTGTGGATGGCCAAGGCAGCGGGGGCCGTTCCCTCATTGTTTCCAGGATGGCTTTGCGGGCCACATGAAACCACTTCACGGGCCGCATCTGGCCCCCGGGCCTTATGTTTGACATGTCTGATTTAAAGTCTCTGTGCTTGTTAATGTACACATGCCACTGCCTCCTTCCACTCAGGGTTAAAGACAATCAAGTTGATTTTGTATATGGCTTACATTGTAGCTGTGGTTATAGTGGTGATCATCACTAGCATTCACAGTGCTGATGATGCAGTTCCAAAATAGTTCCAAAAAGAAGATCTCTTTAGAATCTAACCAAGAAACTGTTATAGACATGGATAGCATGTATCTCTAGTTTTAGGTGTAACCAGGATGGCTAATGTTTTAAGGCATAGTGGGAATTTCAAGTTAACATTTGAAGGTCCAGAGTTTTTGTTGTTATTGTTAGTTACCATCAAGTTGATATTGACTTATAGAAACCCTGTAGATAGTTGTTCTGGATTGTATTTGATCTTCAGTCAAGTGGCTAATCCCTGCTAGAGCTGAGTCTACGGCTGTTGTTATTGCACTGATTTATTACAATGCTATTGTTTTTTAACATTTTCCTTCAATCTTGCCAAGCATGGTATCTTTGTCTACTATTCTTTCTCTTTGCATGTCCATAATATTAAACTGTTAGCCTTGTCAATTGAATTGATATGGAAAGCTTCAGCCTGATTTTGTCCCCTATTTAATGATTTGTTCATCCAGCAGTCCATAATGCTTGCAGTACCTTTTGCCAGTGTCTGTCTGTCTATCTATCTATCTATCTATCTATCTATCTATCTATCTATCTATCTATCTATTCATCTTCTATAGCCATCCATCTCAACCAAGTAACTCTGGGTAGCTTACAGTTCTAAAACAATAAAACATTTTAAAACAATAAAAATAATCCAAAGCTAAATATACAGTGACCAAAATAATTAACTAATTAACAATACACCCAAGGCACAAGGCTCTTAATACATTTGGAGCCCCAGGTCCAGTACATAGTCAACTTTGTTAAGCCTTATTAAAGGCCATCAGGTTGGAGCCATTCTAATCTCTGAAGAGAAAATACAGCATTCCACAGGCATTACAGCAGAAAAGGCTCATCTTCCTGTCCCTGCCAGCTGACATTTTGGCTGATGGAATCTGTACCATGCCTAGTCTCTGGACCAAATCAGACAGATATATTTGATCTTCCTTTCTGTCCTGTTTTCAGAGAGTTATCCTGATGATGGACAGATGGATAATCAGTCTGAAGGAGATAATGTGAAGCTCCCTTAATAATTTCTTTACAACATTCCTTTGGATTGGAAAGAGAAAAGTAGAGAAAGCATTCAGAGCTTGACTTCTTGAATTCCTCCCAAAAACTTTTTTAGCAGTTGCCATGGGCAGTTTCTCTACATTTTCTGTGTAATGAATTGTGTTAGTCCATGTATGCTGTGTGAATCTGCTTTCCTCTGTTCCAACTGTATGTGTGCTCTGTGTACAGGCAAAGAGAGAGCCAGACTTACATGGTATGTTCTGCTCTGGGTTACATGAACAGAGGGGAGGAGAGAGGGGGACTTAATATGAAATAACCAGCAGCATTCCAAGTCACTGCCCAACTGCTTCTCTCATAAGGAGGCATTAGGGGACTTTTTTTCTAGAATGTTTTACTTTGCAGGACCAGATTTGGTTCCCATTTTACTTTGATGTGTTTCTTTTGGCAGCTTCTCTCACCTTACCAAATTTGGTCCCATTACATTCAGTTTTCAGACGAACAGACAGAGTTCTTCTCATCTCTTTTACTCAGCGTTTTCCATTAAGATGGCAAGAATAAAGAGGAAAGACCTAGAGCTAGTTATTAGGAATCCACTTCTGCAGATGACACTGAAGCATGTGGATTGCAAATGGCAGCTGCAATTCTCTTCTGGCTTACTAGACAACAACCTCGTTAAAGAAATACATTAACCTTAATTACAGCATTTAGACGGAGACTTTCACATCATGTCTATATCATGCTAAATAGCCTAGAGTAAAATGCAGCTAAATAGTGACATCTCATGATATTTGAACTATTGAATACATATTTTCTTTGAACAACTAATTTGGAGAAGTATGTGATTCACAGTATAACTATGTTCAAATCATATTTAGTCTGGGCAGTGTACATTAGGTCAGGTCAAATAGGATGAATTCCTCTAAAAGCCCCTGGAGAAGGGCAAATAGGTTTGTTAATGTCATAGCTAAATTATTTACTACAATGCAGTGGATTATTATTATTATTATTTATATTAAATTACAAAGTATAACAAAGTGTGAGACGGTAAGGACAGTTTTATATTTTTTCCACTCATGTTTATCATCAGTCATTTTTCTTTCCAGACCAGCCTGCTTCAAGTATCAAAGCTTGATTAGTGTATGAAAATAACATGGGGGAGAACTTGGCTACTTTATCGAGTGCTGCTTTTATTACAAAAAAACCATTAATTTTATATGTGAAAAATATGTTTCTATTTTGTATACCTGCTTTATCTCTGTGTTACAGAATTATTTAAAGCTCGAAAGACCTCCAAAATAGTCAGAACGGTGTCAGAACTATCATACATAAATGTATATCACTTAGAAATCTTGTAAGCTGAGATTTAGGGATATTTTCCCTTAATTATATACTTTATATTTTGTTATTTAAAATATTTAATTTTATTTTCCTTTAATGTTCAGAATTATACATTAAGTTACAATCAAATGTTCATATTGTTTTTATTTATTCAGTTGTTTATATTTACCATCATATTAACAATGTAGAAATATTGAAGAACAAAGAGTTTTAGCAAAGAAGGAATCAGGAAAATTTTATACCCCATTGTTAAATGGATCACTTTTACTCCTTTGGTAAGGAGAATGCAGAAAGCATAGTATGATGCAAAAAGAAGAATTTGCACTACACTTTGTAGCAATAGCTCTTTGTCCTATTTTAGTATCATCCCTTTACTACCTGCTATTAGGAGACTATTTAATTTCCCTACACACTAGTCCAATAAATTGCCCAAAAGTTGCATTTTTATGTCTAGGATAACATTGATTCATTATCATTCATACTGATAATGAAGAAGACAAAAAAATAAAATAAAAACTGCATATTCTTATATATAAGCATTTGAAGAAGTGTTTAATAGTGTTCCTCTAGGTCCTATAGCCGTGGTGGCGAACCTATGGCATGGGTGCCACAGGTGGCACGCAGAGCTCTCTCTGTGGGCACGTACGCCATCACCCCAGTCCTAGGCCTTCAGCTGGATTTTATAAAACCTTTTCGCTTTAGTCCTCCACCGCCATGTGGAAAACAAAAAGGTTCAATCAATCAATCAATTTCAGCTTCTCACGGGAAAAAAAAGATCTCGCAAAGTTGGAATTGATTGAAATTTTTAGTCCCACCCAGTCTGCCATTACCACCCGCAGCCACACCCAGCCAATTGGCCACACCCAGCCAATTGGCCATGCCCACCCGGCACCCGATGATACATAAGTGGGTTTTGGGTTTCAGTTTGGGCACTCGGTCTCTAAAAGGTTTGCCATCACTGTCCTATAGCATTCTGTTTCTGTAATACATTGCGCAACTGAAAGAGCAACTTTAACTTTAACTGATAAGCAATTTTTCTAACCAGATTTTCTTTAGATGTGTTGATTTGGATTTTAGGGATAATTATAATGCTGTCCATTGAGAATGATGGAGACACATTTAGACTGCAACCTATCATAGTCACATTGAGAGTAAGTCCTGTTCAGCTAAATAGGGCTGAGATTGTTGATAGAATGAATATAGCACTTACTGAGTTTATTCTTTTTTCTTTCCTTGGATTTGTTTAGCAATCATAATGGCTTAGGAATTGCATGCTTCTAAGCTCTACTTAGAACAGATACAACTCCTGTTATCTGGTAGCCCAGTATTACACAGTATCCTGTACAGCTGTCTTGTTTGGCAGTAGCTAGCATAATGCTTGCTGTTTAATTAGGCTTTTTATCTTTACATTTGTCTGAGAATGTTAGGAGCCTTCCATGTTGCCTGCCACTAATTAGTTGACTAATTAAATAGTTAGTGCTTACTTGCTGATCACAGGGCTAACATGTAATGAATGTTGTAGTAATTGTTATTGTTTTATGCTATCTGCCTTTTGCCACATGAGTTGACTGAAATATGTGCCCTTTTCAGATTGTTTTTTCTATATTGAGGGAAAATAATACGAAACAAAACAATGCAGTGGTTCTCTGTGCATCCAGTATTACTGAATGTTCAGACAGAGATAAATAGGGCATGTTCTA